ACAGTAAAATCTATGCATAATGATGCATTTATAATTAGGGGTTTGCTTCTGTATGTTTAAAGCTTTTTAAATAAATAGAAAATATTGTTTGGTCTTTATGTTAATGTCTGCAAGTACCTATTTTTCTTTTTTTTCCCTTTTTTTTATACAAATTGTACAAATATACATGAATTAAACTGGTTTGATTGCAAGTATTTCTTGCATTTTAATCTCAGCTAGCTGCTGGTGCAGTGATATCCCTAGAGGCAATCCTTCTGCTCATGCAGGAACAAGACAGAACCAAAGAAGGGTTGGGTTGGAAGGGACCTTAAAGATCATCCAGTTCCAACCTCCAGCCTTGGGCAGGGACACCTTCCACTAGACCAGGTGCTCAGAGCCCCATTTCACCTGGACATGAACACTTCAACATGAAGTAACTTAAAATGCACTGCAGCATCTCTCTTGAGCCAGTGGGGCGCTGGTTCCAGCAATCCCTGCCAGCCCCGGGTGTCGCCGCACCTGCCGTGGCTTCGGGCAGGAGCAGCTCCCCAGGCTGCAGGGCAGGCAGTGTCCAACATGAGCAGTGTGCTTCCCTGCACCTGGCTCCCTGGGCTTGACAAGCCACGTGCTGATGCTGCTCTGGGCATCCCACTGGAAGAAACAAACCCTCAGTAGCCAGACCAGTCTGGGCTCCAGTTTTTGTTAACCTCCTGCTGCTCTTCCCATTGACCAAAGTTAGTGAATCCCTCTTGCCCTGAGAGAAATTCTATTTTATATACACAAGGTCTCCCCATTGACCCTGCCTTCTCAGGGTCAGACCTTCTCCAGTTGTGATAGCAGGAGTTTTATTGTCCCTTCTATCTATCTTATTTTGTTCTGGACACTCTTTCAGCAATTCACCACCAAGTTCTGCACAAAGCCTGGTCTGTGGTGTAAAACCACCGTTTAATTGCATTTTGGTCTTTTAATAACAAAGTTGCATGAACTTTTTTATTGCCAAAAAATCCCTGCACCTGCTTTCTCTTTGCTGAATTGTTCAGAAGGAAAGAATAGTAGGGGATCAGCAGTGTTAAGAAAAATTTCCCATATGTTTACAAGCAGATGCATCTGTCATTTGCTGTTCTAGAAATAAGATGATGCTATCACTACTTAAAACCATAATAAAACTTGCAACCTGACCTCAAGCTGGGGCACTGAGGTATCTGCAGAGACTGGGAGTTCATGAGGAGTACAATATTACTAAGAAAGGAGTGGAAAAAATGCTCTTTCCTGTCACAGATTTTGATTGGTAAACCATGCCCTGCCATAAGGTTTTTGAGGTGTTCTTACTTTAATTGTAGATGTTGACAGGGTGAAGTTTATTTGGCACTTACCTGTGGCTACTGCAAGGACAGATGAGGGCAGACTGTTGGACTCTGATGCAGAAAACAATGTCCAAGGCACATTCAGCTGAAGAGGTGAAACTCCAGTGAAGACTTTCAGTGAAACCCAGTTTAGCACTGGTGCATTTACAGCCTACACAGGCCCTCTGTCAGCAACTTTTCTCCTTAAACTGCAAACCAGGTAAGAATTGTGAAATGGGTTAAGAGAACAAGGAACAGCATTAAGGAAGGCAAGTTTCTGCCCAAGTCTCTTCTGTGACACAATTACAGTGCCTCAGGTAGCAAAAGCTGCAAGCAGCGTGGCACTTGTATTTTCATTACAGGACAGATAAATCATTACAGGACAGCTAAGGAGATTTTTCTTTCACTCATAAAAGATGGCATCAGAAGGAAACCTGCCATGAAGATCAGCTGGGACAACACTTAACCCTCAGCAGTTTGAAAACCCCAGGGTTTTTCACCCAGCAGAGTGGAAGTGCTGCTGGCCAAGGCACAGCACTGCACCCTGGCCAGTGACTTACAGGCTATAAATTTCTGCTGAGCCCAGCTAGGCAGGAGTCTCAGCTTGGCCATTAATTATTCAGCAAACACATCCAACCTTAATCCCCAGGCCATGGGATTCAATCTCTGGCCCCACAGTGATGGCAAGGCCAAAGCTATTTTGCATAAAAAGCTTTTTTTGTTTTTTTTTTTTTTTTTAATTCACACTCTGATTTTCAGCCCACATCATGCATTCACTATCAGCAGCCTCAGTTTTTGAAAACTGACAAGGCTGTGGCCCTGCCCACAGTAACCAGCACAGAGCAAGGGAAGGGAACCCAACCCAAGGATTACCTCCTCTGTGCCCCCAGCTGTGATAGGAGAGCAGTTCCTAAAGAAGTTCCTAAAGTTCCTAAAATGAAAGAGGACAGAGGCCACACCCATGGAGAATGACCATCCTGCTGCCAGGCCCAGAGAAGGATCCTGCTACCAGCTTTCTCCATAATGTCCTCCTTCCTGTCACAACAGCACATTACTGCACTCCTCCAAAATCTACCAAGCCCTGGTACATGGCTACCAGACAAGAGGCATGCCCTAAAGGCCACCTTCAGGAAAACAAGCAATCTCAAAAGCCTGACTTCCTTTATATTTTTTTTTTTTTTTAATTTTAGTATCTTTTAATCTCCATTTCCAAGCAGTCAGTACCGAGGGCATCGTTCACAGCTCTGCTCAGCAGAGAGGATGAAGAACGAGCTGGGCCGTGGCTACTGGGCTGTGCAAGTCTGGACTTGGCACTGGTGTAACTGGGCTGATGTGGAAACCCATCTGGTGGGTAGCAGTTCCCACAAGTGAATTCCTCAGAGGCAGTGTGGTTAGCCTGGAAGCCAGATCTGATCTGGCTCAGCTCACACCACTGCCTTCAGACAACGGCTGGGACGTGAGAAAGTCTGGATTAGTGTTACCTCTCTTCAGTGTATCACTTCTCAGTAGAAAAGTTTTCTTCTTGTTTGGGTTCTGCATAGCTCCAGGAGTAACAGGAGTTTCAAACATCTCACCTAAAGGTAAAACAGGCTCACAGGACTGGATGGAAGAGACACTAAGACTATTATTCTTTCTCTTTATACCTGCCTTTTTGAACAACCTCAGTTATAAGGAAAAAAAGCCCCACCACACAGAGCTAGAGCTGAGCAGCACATTGAGAATTTTGGAGGACAGCAACCAGAACAAGATCAAACATGCACTGCAGGTTTAAAACAACAACAAAACAAATGGAAGCAACTTCCAAAGCTTGAAAGCTCCAAGTTATCAGAGCTTCACCATCTGACAAGCCAGCATACCTAGCTGCCACACCTGCAAGGCTAACAGCAAAGATTTATATTCTCCCTCTCCTTTCAACATTTTCTACCAAGTGGTAGCCATGAAAACTGAGTTTGGCACACAAACACCATCCTGCCTCCAGAATGAATCTTTAAGGCCACAGATGAGTTGATAGAGCTGTGGGCCCAGGCAACAGGAGACCCAGCCAGAAGGGAGCTTTGCCACGTGAATGAATGTGAGCACAGAAACCTGCAGGCTGTTGCTGCAAGTACTGGTGCAGCTATTTCCTTAGCACTGAATCAAGGAGCCAATCAGTCAGAAGTCATTTTCAGTGCTTGGGTCACTTAGCCAAGACAAGAACTGCCTAAAAGCTTTGGAGCAGGGAGTCACTGCTCCAATACCAGGAGAATTCTCCAAATGAAACTCCTCCAAGCAATGAGGGTCAGTGCTGGAGAGCTGTACTGGCTTGGCCCACCATTGCTCCATCTGGAAGTGATTTGTGCATACTCCAGTGGTCTGTGCAGTCCAGGCAAAGGAACAAATTCATGGCATGGAGTTAAATCCTCGGGGGAAGAAGCCATCCCAACCCCAAGGCAGCATTAACCATTAACTGGTTTACTAATCTCATTTGTTAGGAAAACTTGCAAGCTAAGTAGAGCTGCAGTAAATGACTCGAAATCCACTGAGTCCAGTTTAACAAATAAGTGAGCCTGTATTAGCATGCCATCCTGTCACACTTTCCTGCATCCTCTCTATTGTCTTTCTTGAAGGAGCGAAAAATAGAAAAATTAGTGATAAACTGCATGTAACTTTTTTTAAGTTCTACAAATTTTGAGGCATCAATAAGACCTTGCAGTTGACAATCAGAGGGAAGGAAGACAGGCAAGGTGAACAAGCAGCTAAAACAGACAACAGATAAAATGCTGGAATTCTCCAGTATGCAAAAGCATCATAGCCAGAGATTCTCTTTTCCCTTTGGCTTGAACTTCCAGAATTGCCTATTTTGCGTGAGGAAAGCTCCCCATCCCTTTTGGAGCCTGCTTGAGGCTGACTGCACAGAGCTGCCAATAGTTATTTCATGCCACAACTTCCAGAACCAGAGCAAAGTACTCTGCAACATAGGAATGACAAGTCAAATAACAAATAACATTTTATTTCATTTACAGTGATATTTTTGAGTGGCAAAGGAACCATGACATATAGGAGCCTGTAATAAAAGTTCATGTGTCTTATCTTTATAAAATAAATGAAATCATACACGCAACATAAACGAATGTGCTCTTTGAAGACATTTGAAAAATGTCATGTCTTGATAACTATTATTTTTACTTACTGATGTCTGTTCTGCACTGGCTATTCCACTCTGAAATATAATTTAATTGTCAACATGATAGCTTTTTTTATCCATCAGTATTTTCCAAACCTAAAATGATCATAGAATCATAGAATGGATTGGGTAGGGAGGGACCTTAAAGACCATTTTGGTTTCAATCCCCTGCCACGGGGGATTGATCTACCTTCCACTAGACCAGGTTGCTCAGAGCCCCATCCAACCTGGCCTTGAACAATTCCAGGGATGAAGCAGCCACAGCTGCTCTGGGCAACTTGTGCCAGGATCTCAGAACCCTCACATTCTGTTAAAAATGGTGGCTATCAAAGCATGATCTCCAGGACACTGAGCTGAGTCACAGATCAACCAAGTACTTGACTTCAAAAGCTATTTATCTTGCAAACAAACATACTACTACTGCTCTTTACAACTGAAAAAACAAGCCCCCTATTAAAAAATTACCTATCCCTCCATCCCTATTCCCCCCCACCCCACCCATTCCAACCCTCAAAGAATCATTTTTTTTCTAATTCATATTTGGCAACACTTAATGTCTTTATACAGATTAAGATCTTCAGTCCATAGTCCAGCTCTTCACTGATTAAAAGCAGTCACAAAAGTAGAGACAAGTGACTAGAACAAAAATCCATGGATACCATGTACACCTTCTTGGCGTTCAATGCACAAAGCTATAAAAACTGAACATAATTTTGTGGAATAAGTCCTCTCTTGCCATCTAACGTGCCTTCTAGCCATCCTGGCTCTCTGGAAAATTGCACTGCAAAAGAAAAGGAGAGACAATTACTGCATCTTTTTATGTTTGAATTAGTACTTTTCAGCTTTAGCTCCATGACACCAGGCAAAGCATCCATAAAAACTTCCCTTCATCTGCAATCACCAGTTTAAGAATCTGGCTAGGAAAGATAAAGAGGATTATTAACTTGACTTAAATTCTTTATAATATACTTCTGCAAAGCCTACATGGTGAAATAGCTTTTAGGTGCAGGAGACTTCATTAAGGAAATGGTTAATGGAGTTTAGGACAGATTATAAAATAGAAAAATTTGTGCCTTAGGGAAAAAGTCTGAATTCATATCAAACAGTGGAAAACACTTTCAGTAGTTGGGGCAAAACAAGAGCAAAAAACTGTCTTGAGGAGAAGTGATGAATCTGGAAGCTCAGAACCACAGAAGCACAGCACAGGACCTTACTTGGCATGAAAAGTAAGCATGGAAAGGATTGTAGGGGAAATAGAAATGATCCAGATGTCACTCCAAGTATCATCTCTTCAGAATAGAGCTGCTATTAGAAGTGACCAGTGGACAAAATCTGAATCATTCTTCTGATTAAATCCTCTCTCTGAAATTCAAATACATAGTGCAAATCACAAAACACAAAGCAAAGGCTTGCAAGCTCCTTGTGCCATCCTAAGTGTTTACCACTGCGAATCCCAAAGTTCATGCAAGAGTATCCATTAATATAAAATAAGAAATATTTCAGCTTGGACTCTCAATGCCCCAGAAGTTACTCTGTGAGCAAGAGAACTAATGAAATCTGACTTCCTGAATATATGTATGTTGACCACATTTGACAGGAAGTTAAGAAAGAAGCATAAGCCTCCTTTCTTTGGAAAACAGACAAAAAAGGCCTCAAATTCCCCTCTGAGGTGTCTTTTAAGGATACAATACAGATACCTATTTACCTATGTAACTGTAAAATCCCACACTTTTTAGCAACCTACGGCACTCTCTCCCATCCTAATTTATCCTCACAGTGCTTCTGAGACAGACAGTATTTAGGGAAGACATCAGACAAATGCTGAAACGTGCTGCCAGCCATGTCAGTGCTTTATTTAAAACACATTAACACATGGGGAAATGTGATATTTGTAGCCTTCCACATATCAGGGAAATAACAGTTGAGAGAGAGCAACATGTTAAGTCTCACTTCCAAAAGCATTGTAAGGCTCTTAATTTGAGGACTTAAAAACATACTTTCCCTGGTTTTTTCCTTGTGTCCTATTATTGTTAGACAGCTGTGCTCAGAAATCACACTTTAAACAACAGCTGTAACTCCAAAGAACCCAGAAAACGAAAACTGCTTTCAAATGATACTGATAGTTTAGATTCAGCACGAAATGCTGGGCTTATCTTTGTAATAAATGTGTTCAGCAAAAAGATTCCAAAGGAAAAACATGCATAGACAATTACCTTTTAGGATCTGTGCTCACACAGTAACTTACATTACTATTAGTAATTAGCAGGCCCTCCTCTCCCTTTGTCCTTTCTGTTCCACAATTACAGAGTACACAGGCATTTGAAACTGCATGGCTGACACCACCACAAACCTCCCTCCAGAAGCTGTAATTCTGCATTTCCAGCAAATGCACCAGCAGCCAAATCCCTCCTTGAGGTCTCCCATACCTACGGAGCACATCTGTATTACAGGAAACAAACTCCCCATAAAATGAGAGATTAGGAAGAAAAGCAACTAGAAAACCTAGAAGTAGGAAATTTCTACCTGTCCTCTGGTACTTAACCTTAATTTCCATTAGAAAGAGGGTAGGTACCACTGGCATGTGAGAGTCTATAAATCCAAGGCCTGTTCAAGCTGAGGGGAGCCCTCATCTGAGGGGATCACACTGAAATTATAATTTACCTAAAAGTTACACAGAGGAGGAAATGCTCAAGCTAAGCTGAATCACATCACTCAACACAAGAGCAAACTTCCAAAGAAATATTTTCCAAGCAAGTTTGATAAGATGATGGTGAACTCTGCTCATTACAGCACCTTCATGGCCCAGCAGCTGGGTTTGAGTGGCAAACACCATTTTCACCCCAGCAGATGAGACCTAGCTGGAACAACTGAGCTCTGGGCTTAGGAAATGAAATATTGCCCATGTACATTACACAGCTCAGGGCCTCACTTGTTGGCAGACAGTTCTTTTAGACTCTAGGAAGACTGAAGAAGGAATTATCACTCAATTACACCTAAGGCCACCATTTCTAGAGATCTTTGCTTTAAAAAAAAAAAAAAGTAATAAAAACTAATAAAAAAAAGTAACACAGCAAAAAGTAATTCTTAATGTTCAGCAGCTGCGGTGGCTGTCACAGCAGGGAAGGTTTCTGCCCCCACTCCAATCACCTTGTGCCAGAAGGGGTAAGATAGTTGTGTACATCACTGACTGCTTCTGTAGGCAAAAGATATTAATGAAGGTGCCATCCAAAAGTAAAGCTGCTTTAAGCTCCAGTGATCCTATTTACTTTGCTAATCCATTTCTGAAGTACAGTGTACAACAGCATGCATACCTTTAAAATCAAAACCACTTAACCACATAAACTCCATTCCTCTCTCATGCACAGCTCTTCTTAAACCCAGGACACAGCCTATTCCTGAAAAAATACCCCGCTCAACAGAAGACATCTGTAGTGGCCCCTTTCTGTCATTTCTTCTCAGTCAACAACAATTACAGTTCTTAGCACTTTCTCAGGCCTGCCTCATTTAAAAATACCTTAATGCAGAAACTACACACTTGGCCTTAAAACTCATTACTAGAGCAATCATCCCACAGGACTAAGGCTCATGCTGGCACAGGACAGAAGGGGAAAACACTCATAGTATAAAGGATACAGAGCAGAGAACTAAACAGTAAATATTTTCAGCAAGGTGTAAGGAGTGTATAGCAAGGCTGCACAACAAGATCAAGCACAGAACCACCACTAAAAGCCCTTGCCTCTTAGGACAGTGCAAATAGCAGCCAAGTTGAGAGCTCAGAGGGGGACAGTGACCTCCTCAGTACCTGCTGCAAGGCCTTTTCAGCAGTCTCACTCATGCAGGCAAGGTGCAGGGAAGGAAGATGTCTGAGCATCAGTACGACAGCAAGGGCTATGGAACAATCACCCCAGCTCAAATGGGCCAGCAAAATCTACAGACTTGGAACTTGCAGTGAGATCTGATTTCTTCTAAACAAGAAACACCCTTAGGTCAACTTGGCATTTGCAGCATTGCCTCTTACTTTTCTATATTCTTCAGAGGAAATAGCTTTGATATTGCCAATGTTATTATTTATTAGCAAATACATAAAATTCACAGGCAGCTCTTCCCAGAGACCCAATGCCATAAGCAGACTTTGCTTTGCTCTGGCAGCTCAAATGTTTCACAAGTCTCAACCACAATGAGAGCAGGACTTACTTCCTCAGCAGTATTAGTTCATTGGCTGGGTGCCACTAACTTCAGCAAGACTGAATCAGCCACTGATTCACACTGATTTCCATGTCTTTGTGGAAACTGGCTGTTTTGGGAGCAAATCTAACCTGCATGGTGTCTGGCAGAAGAGGGCCTCCCTTCCTCATGGACTGTCAGAGTAAAAACCTCAAAAAGCAACATAAATGAGGATTACTGAGAGGAACAGAAATCTCACTGCTAAAACCACTACAGCACTAGAACTCATTTCCATAGAACTCAATGATGCTGGCCAATTTTTCATCAGGAAATTCAATTTAAGCAACCAAATGTTCTTGCAAGCCCTCTGTGTTTAGAAAACCCTTTGGGTTTTTGAAACAATCCCTGTGGGTTGAGTTGATAGCAGAAATGCAGAAATATTTATCATGCTTAGGGTTAGCCTGGAATTTGAAATTTCAAAACTCGCTGTTTCCCTTAATTATGCTGTGAGAAGCAGAATTATCTTGAGGACAGAACACAGGACTAGGAGTCAGGGGTCTTCTCCCCATGAAGGTTTCCAAGTGCTCTGAACTACACAGATGAAAGGTGCACCAAGAAGTAGCTCTATCTCCATTTTTACCCCAACAAAAGAACCATTTGCACATACAGTGCAATGCATTATTTTGGGAGCACCACTTCTCTTTGATGCAAATCCTGGATTGGTCAGGACCATGAAGACAGTCCACAAGCCACAGCGTGAATGAGAGGGCAGAGAGTGCCTTGGAGTCAAAACCAGGAACATTAACTAAGGCTGGCACTTTGTTACAGTGGGAGAGAGAGATGGGGATGACAAGGCCTGTGTGAATGTGGCTTTTTGTGCTCCTTTTATACTTGGTGGGGATGATGGGTGCCCCACTTTTCCTTAGGAAAAAAAAACTCTCAGTTTTCCTCATGTTGTCTCTCCCCTAAAATCGGATTTTAAAAATTGTAAAAAGCCTTGATAAGAGCTATCTTGACAAGTTTTCAGGAAGCCTTCCTGCTAGCAGTTCTGCCAAGGAATTTTTATTGTGTAAACACCATTTAACCTATCTGAAACACTTCTCCAGAGTGAAATTCCCATTTACTGACTTTAAAGCAGTCTCTTTCAAGAACAAGAAATTTAATAACACTTGGCTCCAAGACTGGCAAAATTCCAGTGCCAGGCAGTCTGATTATTCTTCCCCTGATTATTGGGAATATCTGCCTCAACAACAACAGACATGCACAGCCAGCATATGTCTCTCAATCTCAGATTCTGCTCTGCTCCTTCCCTTATGTGCCCTTATCCAGCTGCAAACTCTCCAAGCTTTGCTTCCAACCACTTGAATTATATTGTTATGTGCTGTCAATAATATAGCCTGTAACAACTGGGAAATAAAAATATTGGCACAGCCTAAGGCAAATTGAATAGAAGATTTAAAAAAAAATCTAGTGGATATTGTTCAGATTACGTTATTCATTTTCCTACACAATTCAATTAAATAGAAAACTTTGCCTTTTCTTTTTAACTTACCAGATGGTGCCTTAGCATTTATATTCTATGGCACTTTAATGGAAAGACTGTGGGATTTGGGGAAGCACAATGTACATGCAGTACTGAAAACACCTGAATGTGAAAATGCTAAGGTTCTATACAGATTCCTATCAGGTGATGCAAAGCTTAACTTAGAATATTAGCAAATCTAACCTTGGCAGACTGAGACAGATTTTTTTCCCCCTGTTTAGAAACAGGAAATGGAGATGGGAGCAAAGGTTAAACTCACCTTCTTGCACCAATATTACATTTAGTAGCTATGACAGGTGCAAGACTGCTTCCCTAAATGCCATTATCCTGTCTGAGGCTGGAGCAGCCAGAAAGATTCATCCAGTGTAATGACAGGTGGGAGAGAACCTCTGCAATCAACATCTATGGACCAAGAGAGACAAACCAAGAACGGGGAAGAAAACAGGAAAAAGAAAACAAAGCAGAAAAGAGAGGAAAGAAAAAGGAAGAAAAAAAAAAAGAGGATTAGAAAGTGAGAGAGGCCGGGTGGAGAAAGGAGAGACTGATAAAACCTTCACTAATGGAAGCAGCACTTTTTAGTAGACATTAATTTAACAGTTACTTTAATGGTTGATACTAGCTGTATGTCAACTTGATTGATGCTTTGTCACTTTGATAGTTAAGGTTATTGGTAGAGCTGCAGAATTGATGTATTATTACTTTAATTCTTCATTTGGGGGCTTTATTAGGGCATATGGGAATTTAAATTGAGTAACTAAAGAACCTGAATTGATTCACTGCAATCTGATTTCAGCACAGACACAGGGGTGCCTGATACAGAAAGAAAAGGCCCATGTCGAGGCATTTCAGAGGTTTCAAATGTGGAGACAGGTCTGCACTTGGCAGGAGAGAGCCATCCATGACATAACATACTGGGAAAAGTTATGAAATTACCATTACATACAGTTACTGCCTTATTATTTGCATGCTCTCCCCATTTTTTCTGCCAATCCACAGCCTACCTGAGGGTGAGAGCCCTGCAGGGCAAGGACAACACCTGTGAAATAACCAGGATACAGCAGAACAAATTGAAACTAATGTGTTGAAGGAAATGTGAGTTTTGCCATCAGAAATCTGCAATTGGGTTTTCCAAATGCAATCCATGCAACCTTTTTTCCCAGTTTTGGACCTTATTTGTCTGGTGACGTGGAAAAAGTCACAGTTGAAACATTTCTCCACAGATGCCAGAGTCAAATTCCATACTTGTTTTGCGGCAATCCAACTCTCCAGTTGAAAAACTCAACCAAGGCTGCAATGCACCAAATCATGGGGGCTTTGTCACCACTTCCTGAGTTCTCATACCAGGAGAGAATCTTAACATTGCTCTCACACAAAAACATGACACACAAGGAACTACTTCTTGGAAGACTTCCTTACCCCAAGCTAACACAACCCTTGCTGTTCTGCAGCAGAAATGCCTCTCCCAGACATCAAATCTTTTCCACCGTGCACTAGATTTTCTTTCCTGTACACAGTTTGATGTCTGCTGAAGAGCCCTATCAGTCATGTTTTAAAAAACTTAAATTAAAATAAGTGGTGTTAAGGACTTTAAAAAGAGCAATCACTCAGCTAATTCATCTTTAAAAAGTTTCCCACCTAACTTGATTCAGACATGATTTGCCTGCAAGGCAGCTCTAATAGGAAACATCAAAAATGATTTTGTAAAGTGGGTGCTGGTAGGGAAGAACCTAGTGGGGACCCCAGACCACTTTATGTTGAAAAAAAAAAAACAGAACTGAAGACTGGACCAGGCTTGCTGTTTACTTGTTTGGGGGGAGACAGAGGACAGGAATATCCTATTTTACATACCATTAAAAAAAAAATAAAATCCTGAGCTTCCCATTCTCCATTTTCAGAATTTGTATTACAGTAGTCACTAGCATAAGGTTTAAAAACTAAAACCTTTCCTATCAGTTTGAAGTTCCTTTGCATTTGCTGAAGGGTAGATCCATGGAAGCTCACTGAGAACAGGAATCACCTTCTGGATGCTCACATGTAATGCTATATTTGGATCCATAGAAATCATTAAACACAGGCCTTCATTCCACACCTCAGTGAATATTCCATTTTCTACCAGTACATGCACACGCTAATGCAGACCTTGATCTAAATCAGTAAAAACTCTCTTTTTTCCTTCATTGTTCACCTGATTTACCTGGCACTCTGCTTCAAAATCCTGAAACAGATTTTTTTTTTTCTTTAAAGGAAAACCCCTGTGTTATTTTACAACAAGAGTTCACATTTTAAAAAATTCAGTTTCACAGACCAAGGTGTTCTCTTCTATTACTGAATAACCTTTTTTTTGGTACTACAACACATCTAAATGATGCTGGAAAATTATACCAGCTGGAAGAGTCTATTCACCCAAAAATCAAAAGCATTGCCTCACAGTGCTAAGGATATGTTAAGTAGCTTCTTCATACCAGAAAATATCTCCATCACCAACTGTGTGCCATCAGCAATGTTGGCAGAATAGCAGTCAGGCTTGTATTTTTATCCAAAGCCATTTTAGCAGTTTTGTCAATTTGTTTTTCATTGCTTTATATTTACTCAAGCAGTACTTACCATCTTCAAATATTGCTCCTATCTGAAATGACAATTCAGAGCTGTGTTCTGCTTCACATGGATAAACTGCTCTTGCTTTTCGGTGGGCAACACTGAAAAATGAAATGATGAATTATAGCAACTTTTTACTATTATGAAGACACTGTCTCAACCATTCTCTCTCCATTCACATTTGGAGATGACTAAAACTTTAAACACAATCTCACATGCATCATTACAGGGTTATAATTCATACACACAGCCAAAGCTGAAGCTTCACAGCTTACTGTTGGCATTTCTGAATACCATACTCCCAACTTTCTGCACACTATTTTTATGACAAACTCGACTTTCAACTACAGTTAAATTTTTTTCATGTGCTAGTCAGCAATGAACTCAATAGCAGGCAAAGTATAATATACTTAAAAAATTCCAGCAGAAGTAAGAAATAGGATTTTTTTTATCAAGGGTTGGGAAGAATTTGTGAATATACCTACTACTTGAACGACTTAATTAGAAAGACATATATTACTAAATTTGAAGGGAAAAGCTAAGATGGTGAAGACCTTCAAAGAAAAAACTCAAAATACTTCAAAACATGGAAAACAACATGGAAAGAAGCAGAAACAGGATGGAAGGAAAGCTGGACAAAAGAGTGAAAGAAAAGAATGAAACCAAAGAGAAAGGAAGAAAGTCTAGGATGAGAATCTTAAATCTGGCAAAGGTGGAAGAATCTGCATTTTAAAAGACTCTAAGAGAAACTCTGCAGGAGAGAGACACTATGAATTGCCCACCCATTGTTAATACAGCCTTCCTGACCACTGGCTCAGGGGACTGTGTGGCACACCAAGGTAGGTGTTCAAAGGAAAAGTAAGATGAAGTGGACAGGTATTTCATTCTGTTAAAATTGCTGCCAGGTTGCATTTCCTGGTTTGAGATAATCATTCACATGCCACGGGACACTTTTTTTTAAGGATACTGAAAAAGGAGGCAAATAAAGAGCCAGCAAAAGTTGAAGTGCACACCATACCTTTCCACTGCTCTGTCAGTGCCAGTGGCAGGGCTGGGGAAGATGAAATTGGGTAGTGCAGCATCTGTGGCAGCCGGGGTAGCAGATGGAATGTTCATCCATGAGACCATCGACGGGCGGCTTTGAGCAGGACTAAGAGGAAATACATTCAAGGCAGAATTACAACATGAATAAAGTTTCTTATCCTACCAAAATATTTGAATCTTTATAACTGGACAACCTGTGAGATTTTCAAATTCAAACCAAATCATATTGTCAAGCTGATTTTGCAGAAATGGCCACCATATGATTCTGCACTCCTCCTTGGAATTCTTTTCCTACATGCCCTACATCCTAAGCTAAGGAGAATTACCTGAGATGCATGACATAAGCAATAAAAGGGCAAAATTCCCCATTCCTTATCTAATAAAGACAGACAAAGTGAAATTGCATCGAGCAGGCTATTATTTGAGCTGCCACTCTGCCTTTACAAGTTTTGATGAATCTATTTAAAAATCTCCTCAGTACTGTACAACTGAGAAGATTTCTAAAGAGGCTGCAGCTATTCCAGCACTGGGATCACGATGCTGGCTCTGGATTGAGATCTTCATGGAGCTGTGCAAACACTGTCTCAGTGGCTGCCCCCACCAATGTTATCAAGTTAATGGCTGAACACAAAGATGCCACAAGAGGAGAAGAAATAGCAGGCAAAATTTAAAAGTTGCATTAGTAAACACACAAAGTAGCCCCCAACAAAAAGAACATTTCTAATTTTATGCCTTAAAAGAGCTCAAGTGTTCCAGCACTGGAAGGCTTTCCTTCATTGCATGGACAAAACAACAAATAGTCCAAAACCAGGCTGTCAGCATGTCTTTGGAACACAGAGCTGGACTCCAAGCAGTTTCAAAGCAGAAACAGTATTAAAATCATTTGCACACAGCAATTGTTCCCTCAGAAGCAGAGACTTCCCAATACAGCATTTATGACTTTGTCTTACTCCAAGATTAATCTCTTAGACAGCATTGATCTGAAAAGCACCACCAAAATCTAAGAACTCAGTCAAGAAGGTTTTAGTGGGAGTCTAAATGCACACTGATCAAAATGGAGTGAACACAAGCAAAAAGAGGAATCAAGAATCAGCCCTGTTATAATTGTAGATTAATAGAAGAAAGCAGGAAATCTAACTTAGATAGCTAATTTTTATCTTATTGTACACTGGGATATTTAATTTCTAGAAGAAATTATCATTATTTGTTGGTTTGCATAGCATGATTTACAATCAAATTCAACTTTTACAAACTCATATATCATAGTCACTCTAGCAGTTACATAGTTAAGCAGGCATTTATTTTGAATATATTTTTTTAATTTAGTACATTATAATGTGAATTTCATATTCCTTATTACAAGACAATGGCTTTTTCTTTGGAAATGTATCAGATGGCATGTGAATAAAAACTGGAATTCACAGTTTATAAAACAGCATTCTATAGTTAATTCTACTAGTAAAAATGAAACTTAAATATGTTGGAATCATAACCAGAAGGGTTTATCAAAACATGCTCTGCTTTTAAAAATTATCACATTTACCAAATAAGGAAAGGAATCATGTGTATTAAACTGAATGATGAGCAGGATCATGTTGTCTAGAAACATATTTTATGCTTAACTTTGGAATGAGACTATCCAGTCATCTTTTCTGCCTAGGAATCTTCCACGGCACCATTTTTTACATCTTCCAACAATTACATACATTTAGGAGCAGCACCTATAGAATTTTAGGGTTTTCTTTTACTTCAACTTGTCTCCTTCCTCCCATTTTTACCTAATAATTGAAAATTTTTCCTCAAATAAAAGAAAAACCTTCAGCTAAAAGTGACTTCATTCATACAAACCAAAAAAATGAACACCAGCATTTGGATCATTTTCTCTAAATACTGAGAATAAAACAATTCTCAGTGGTACTGTAAAGTTTATAAAGTTTGCCAGAAAGTAAATAATTTCTTCATCATTCCTCACTCACAATGTCTACATGCAGAATTAATTTTAACTCAGCAGGTGAACACAACAACATTTTTCAAAAGTGAATTTAAAAGAAGTATCCTACTTGCACAGACTAAACTCTTCTACTTAAAACAGTCCTGAGACTTAGAGAAAAAATATTTTCCTTGCTATTTATTCAATTCAAATCAATCTCTTGGCAGGGGGGTTGGAAGGATATGATCTTTAAGGTCCCTTCCAACCTAAGCCATTCCCCGATTCTGTGATAAGGATTGGTGTTAGGCTCATTTCTGAAACCTGTAAAACTACTGAAAACAGAAAAACAACACTCCAAGTATATTGCCAAAGGAGTATTAAAATGTCTCTAATGCAAAGTATTCACAATTCAAGAATATTCTACCAAGTGGCCTTTTGTAGTGCAACCTCAGATGTGTGGTTTGATTTTCAACAAATGAATATTAAAACTTGCATTTATTAAATATTTCATTGATGGATGCATCATGTTAATCTCTGCAATTTACTCAATCAGCTCTAGAACAACACACACCACCTGCACCTCACACAGAATTAATGACTTCAAAGCAATGCTCAGAACAGAGAGAGCACAAAAGGAATCCTCTGACCTAGGGAAGCATTGGTCATTCATAAGAATACTTGGAATAAACACCAGATGGTTTCTTGCTGAGACTTGGAGAGGAAAGAAAGAGGGAGGGAAAAAAAAAAAAAGAAAGAGGTGTGCACATAAAGGAACAGAAGATGAAATGAAATGTTCAGCTCCATGCTATGGCATGTTAATTTCTCAAGTTACAGAGACTCAACAAGAATTGCAATCTATCACCAAGTGAGACTACACTGTCCTTTACCAGACAGGATTATATAGAAGCATGTTAAAATTGGCAGGTTTTCTACAAATTCTGAGCCACTCCAACACTTGTAGTGGAAAAACACTCCAGAAGTACAGGTATGTGGAGTGCTGGGCTGCTCCCTCCCCCACTTTTTTGATGAATTCCCTTAATACTTTAGAGCTGTAGGGAAAACACTGCAGCAGAATTTGCCTGTCACTTCAGGCTCCTGGTTACCCAGCAAGAGATCATGCTCTACCATCCAGCAGGAGACAAAAAACCCAACACATTTTTCAATAGCAATAGCTTCACCACAGTAAGAAGACTGAAAGAAAGAAAGAAGAGAGTTGATAGCTTTAACTATGAAGCACATCCTAGAATTTATGGATTTGGTTGTGAGGTTGTTTTTTTTTTTTATTTATTGTACTTGGTTACCTCAGGAACCACTTAATTCTTGTTACTGAAACAGAAGGTTTTACTCAATGAGAAAAATAATTTCCAATGTTGTGGTGTGTAAGCAACAAAAGGTTAGATTTTATTGTTTTTTCCTTGAAAAGGCTCTTGTCAGAGCAAGGCTGCCTTGCTATAAAGATTTGCATACCTTGTTTATCAAGATGATGCTACATTAGAAAGTATTGCACGTGTCATCACACAGCATCTCAACTTTAAGAAGGTATGTTGAAGAAATCCTAAGGCTAAAATGAAGGCAATGCATTTTCTGTGGGTAGGAAAAAAACTCAAAAAGGCTGACATAACCATCTCTCTTTGAGGAAAAAATGCTATTGTCTAGCATAGTGAACGATGGGAAAAGGGAGGAGGGGGGAATGGCTTTACTGAAAATAAGCTAGAGATTTTGTACTGATATTCAGCAAGAAATTTCTGAAAACAAGATTTTATTGGATGTTTATCTGGCTGGTTCCTAAGGTAACACAGCTAAAGAGCAGCCTCTTATCTTGAGAGCAAGGAAGAGAGTCTGTGAAAAGAATCTACACTGCAACTCCTGAGAAAAAAAGGGTTGTTTCAGACAAGTTTGGCAGCGCCACGGCTGTCGTATCACAGTGTCTGGCTGACAAACTCAATGAAAGCATTCTGAAAGGTTTCATTACAAGATGACAGTGTGTATCAAAGGCCGTTGGCTATTGCTGATTCTTTATGCAATCCAGTAGTGACCACCACCACGTCTTCCTGCATCTTAAAATCCCCTGCGCCCTGGGGAGTGGGGAGCAGAAAAATATCTGGCCAAAATTCTAGAAATTGTCATTGCTGCAGCAAAGCTGGAGACAAACAGAAGGCCAGAATTTCCCCATCTGTGTTCCCCCTGGAAAGAAACTGCATCCTCAAAATTTCAAGTATGTGACATGCACGCAGCTTTCCTGAACCCTCATTTATACAGAGCACATCAGTCAGCACTGAAATAGAGGGGTTTTTAACTTGGATTGTGAAGTCTCAGTGAGGCAGCTAACACATTAGTGAAATGATCTTTCACACCAGTCTGGTAAATCCAAAGCTAATGTCTACAGCAGCTGTCCCAAGTTAAAGCATTTTTAAATGATAATTCAGACAAAGCAAAAGTGAAATATGTACATCTATAGGCTTATAGCTCACCACTGCTCCTTTCAGGGAAAAAAAACAATGAGGGGGCTGTGTTACCCTGGAGGAATGCAAAGAAAAGAAAATAATAATAAATTTTAAAAATTTAAAAAGGAAACTTTAGCTCATGTCAGTGATTGCATGCACACCCCTCCCTGCCCTGAGCACACACACCATTTACCCTGTGCTCACACAGCAGTGCTGCTGTCAAGCTCCCTGGCAGCCAAGGAGATGGCAAGGTCTGTTTTGTACGAGCCACATGACTAAGTTATATTATGCCTGTCTCAAAGAAGCTGCAAAATGAGGGCTCTTGCTCTGCTTGCATAACGAAAGGGTACAAAAAGAAGTGCCTGCTCCGCTAAACCCGCTCTCAAAGTGCTGAATCACTGAAGAGGTGGCAGCTGAAACAAAAACAAACTGCAGAATAAGCACAATGACCCAACAGCAGCTAGAGCACCTTCTTTCAATAAAACAGGATGGTGACATTAGATATTATAAAAAGTTTTCACGACAGTGAAACCGAAGTCACTCATCATTTATGTAAAACTGCAAATTCACAGCACTGCCAGAAAGTACCAAAAAGAAACTATTGCCATTTTAAGGGGACCAGACATGCCGTCTACTGATGTAGATATAACAAGGCTGATGGGAATTCACGCAGCAGTCAAACAAAATTAATAACTATCTCCAAGGCTTCTGTTATGTGCAGAACATCACTAT